AGCTGCTGGTGCTGACGGTGGCCACCGAAGCCACCGATGGCTACCAGAGGTTCCTGCGCTCGGCCCAGACCTTCAACTACAGCGTCCAGGTGGGGGAGGGGCTGAGGAGTCACTGTGGCTGTTCATTTCCTTTTTTATTTTATTTTAATTTAATTTAATTTAATTTAATTTAATTTATTATTTTATTTTATTCTATATATTCTTTTAGTTTAGATTTTTTTATTGTTTTATGGAGATTTTTCCCATTGAATTTTATATTTTCTGTGCTTTTTAATGTTTTTTTAGCTGTTGATTTCTGGTTTTGTTCAATTTTCCCTTTTTTTGTGTTCTCTGTTCTCACCTCCCCGTTTTCCTCCCATTTCCTCTCTTTAACCCCCTGCTCTCACCCCCATTTTTCCCATTTTTTCCCCCATTTTCCCCAATTTTTCTCTGCTTTTCCCTCATTCTCCCCCCTTCTCCCATTTCCCCCCATTCCTCCCCTTTATTCACTAATTCCCCCCTCCCCCCATTTTCCCCCATATCCTCATTTTTCCCCATTTCCCATTTTCCCAATTTTTTCCCCATTTTTGTTCCTCTTCCTTCTCCATTTCCCCCATTTTTCCATTTTTTCCCCATTTTCCCAATTTCTTCCCCACTTTCCCTCATTTTCTCCCAATTTTTCAGTTTTTCTTCTCTTTCCCCAATTTCCCCGTTTCTCTCTGTATTCCCCCCATTTTTCCCCATTTTTCCCCATTTTTCCCTCATTTCCCCCCCATTTTCCCAATTTTCCCCCATTTTTCCCCATTTTCCACTTCTCTTTCTGTTTCCTCCCTGGGGAGCATTTCCCGTTGTTATTTATTTATTATCTGGTTTTATTTCCGGGTGATATTTCCGGGTGTCATTTCCGGGTGTCATTTCCGGTTTCCTGTTTCTGTTTCCTGTTTCCGGTCTCAGACCCGGGGGCTGGGCCATGCCTGGCGGGGCGGTGACGTTGGGAGGGATTTCCCTTTGTTATCTCTATTTCCTATTTCTCATTTCCTGTTCCTGTTTCCTGTGTGTCATTTCCGGTTCCTGTTTCCGGTCCCGTTTCCGGTCTCGTTTCCGGTTTCCGGTCTCAGATGCTAGGCCTGGGCCATGCGTGGCGGGGCAGTGACATTGGGAGGGATTTCCCTTTGTTATCTCTATTTCCCATTTCTAATTTCCTGTTCCTGTTTTCTGTCTCACTTCCGGTTCCCGTTTCCCCGTCTCTCATTTCCGGTTCCTGTTTCCGGTTCCTGTTTTCGGTGTCAGACGCTGGGCCTGGGCCGCGCGTGGTGGGGTGGTGACGTCGGGAGGGATTTCCCTTTGCTATATCAAATTCCTGTATCCCATCTCTCATTTCCGGTTCCTGTTTCCTGCTTCCGGTCTCATGTCCGTTTCCGGTTTCCTGTTTCCGGTCTCAGACGCTGGGCCTGGGCCATGCGTGGCAGGGTGTGATTTCGCACACAGCCCTGGGACGGATTTCCATTTGTTACATCAATTTCCTGTTTCGCATCTCTCATTTCCGGTTCCTGTTTTCTGCTAATCATTTTCGGTTCCTGTTTCCGGTTCCTGATTCTGGTGTCAGACGCTGGGCCTGGGCCGTACCTGGCGGGGCAGTGACATCAGGAGGGATTTCCCTTTGCTATCTCTATTTCCCGTTTCTCATTTTCTCTTCCTGTTTCCCATCTCTCATTTCCGGTTCCTGTTTCCGGTTCCGGTTTCCGGTGCCAGATGCTGGGCCTGGGCCGCGCGTGGCGAGGCGGTGACATCGGGAGGGATTTCCCTTTGCTATATCAATTTCGTGTTTCCCATGTCTCATTTCCGGTTTCTGTTTCCCATCTTGCATTTCCGGTTCCTGTTTCCGGTTCCGGTTTCAGGTGTCAGACGCTGGGCCTGGGCCGTGCCTGGCGGGCCGGTGACATCGGGAGGGATTTCCCTTTGCTATCTCCATTTTCCGTTTCTCATTTTTTTTTTCCTATCTCCCATCTCTCATTTCCGGTTCCTGTTTCCGGTTCCTGTTTCCGGTTTCCGGTGTCAGACGCTGGGCCTGGGCCATACCTGGCGGGGCGGTGACATTGGCAGGGATTTCCCTTTGCTATCTCTATTTCCCGTTTCTCATTTCCTCTTCCTGTTTCCCGTCTCTCATTTCCGGTTTCCGGTTCCTGTTTCCGGTTCCGGTTTCCGGTGCCAGACGCTGGGCCTGGGCCGTGCCTGGTGGGGCAGTGACATCAGGAGGGATTTGCCTTTGCTATCTCTATTTCCCATTTCTCATTTCCTCTTCCTGTTTCCCGTTTCTCATTTCCGGTTCCGGTTTCCGGTGTCAGACGCTGGGCCTGGGCCGTACCTGGCGGGGAGGTGACATTGGCAGGGATTTCCCTTTGCTATCTCTATTTCCCGTTTCTCATTTCCTCTTCCTGTTTCCCGTCTCTCATTTCCGGTTCCTGTCTCTCATTTCCGGTTCTTGTTTCCGGTTTCCGG